GAAAAATTATTAGAACAGGTAAAAGGGATTCAATCATACAGCTTTCATAGAGTTTTTCACGGAGCATCTTTTGAAAACTAATTCAAGGTTTTATCATTTATTTAAGTTGAGATATGCGCGAAATAAAAAAAAATACTACAATCTTAAGGACACTCAGTTTTGCAAGAGAAAAAAATATTCTTTTTTCTTCCAATATCTTTTTTACACTTTAAACTGCATTTGATATTCAAAGTAAATATACCAAAAGATGCAGGAAGCTCTGAGCTTTCTCTCTATATATAGTAAGTTAATAGATAAAAATGTGTAGTACTAAAAAAACAAAAAATCAAAGTGTGTAATTTCAATTGTTCTTGACTGTATAACATCCATCTTCTCATTCTGAAGAAACCTAAAACATGTATACTTATATACTAATTCTTTTTCTCCTGTCTGCAATATATAATACGACGATGCATTAGTGAAGTGAACTACAAATGGTCATTTTCTTATCGAATACAATCACACACTACAATCAAGATCAAGTCGATAAACATAGAAAAACACAGGGTAATCATTCTTATCCAGTATTTATAACTATACTTGTAGATTCGCACAATATTCTACGTTATCCTCCGCTATCGGCATCATCTGTCCGCAAACTTTCTCATCAAGTGCGTAACTCACCATTGCAATTTCTGTTTATTTTCTTACGAGTCATTCAATCTAGTTTCATCATTAATTGACAAAAGATATGCGATCTCGTTCTGTTATCCATGTAGCCACTCGATCACCCAAAAATAATATCCATCCGACGAAGGATCAGTCTGCCAATCCTCAAGACATTTTGTTCCAGGTTATATTTGTAAAATCTTTGATTATTCATATTTTCTTCTTGTTTAAATAGATGTCCACCAATTCGGGCTACGCGTTATTATCAAAACAAACCCCTGACTACCGCGATCACGGCGAGAGGGAAGGAGGAAGAAAAGAAATAAACGGTGATACTCTTTCCATTCATTTCCAATTTCCCCGAATCCTCAATGCCTTCACAATAGCCCAGGATAAATCTGCCAAACGAATTGTCAGTCAAAATTTTAGCAAATCAATAAACAATCGAACACATACCGACGATGCCACCAAAGCTAATCAATATTCCCAGCTATCAATACAGGTGACATAGCAAAATGAGTAGCATGCTCATTATTAGATTCTCTACACCTAAGTATTTATTATTGAAGATCTGGAAATTGTTTAGTTTTCATTCTATGAACAAGTTCTTATTTGAAGTATAAACATCTTCATCGAATTTTAGAAACGGTCAAAAGTTCTAGTTTCATACAAAATTTGATAGTGTTTAACAATTTTTTACGGCTTGTCCAGCTAATGGTCGCCCAGCGTTATTAAAGTTGAGAGCTGACGTTCTCATTCACAGTACAACTAATTGTGCTCAATTCAAGTTTTTAAATAGGTTTTCATACATTCTGCGTCGATCTATCTGGCTTATCTTGAAATATTTTGAGAAGAAACAGTAGTTGCCAGCCAAAATCAAGCATTTTGGGGCAAAAATCGCTTGAAAATTCATTTTTGTCTCTTATCATATCTCGATCGGTGTTTTAGTTTTGATCAAAAATGAAGATGTTGCTAGTGATTTTGATGCTAAACCTACAGCTTGGCATAAACACATCATCTCCTGTTTTTTGTGAAGATTGTAAAAATAGTACTTTTAGTGAGCTCTATAAAGTTGAGTGAGTGCCTTACCGCAATAACTGGTGTGCAGCTCAACAGTAGGAAAATATTTTTGAAAATGTCTTGTTTTCAGCGGATAGTCCAGACTGTCTACTATAAACTTGCTCTCGATCATATGTCATTGCAACGTACGCATCTATGAAAAATGAACCATCTCCGATACCAGCCCAAAAAAGGGGCCTTTTGTGTGAGTACGTCACCGGCAAGCATTTTCCTTGTAAAACGTGAACCATAAAATGAGGTGAGACGAAAATTTTGAACATTAAACCACTTGGTAGTATGCATCTACGCACAACATTTCAGGGCTCTATGTTTAATTATTTCGGATAAATTAAGATGAAAAGTTATCAAAACGTGAGTGCGTTACTTGCGGACAAGTCGTTTACCCTAATAAGTATAGTTGTGGGCAACTGGTATGTTTGATCACATATTCTGTTAGCTAGACTCTTCATGAAGCGGCTCTTCAGACTGACAGAATGCCCATTGTAATAAAAATCTAATGTTTTTTTCTATAAGAAAACGACTTCTATGTATGCTTTCTACACTTTTTCTCTTCGATCAATGAGTAACGTATGTTGAAACCGTACAAAAGCTAATTGTAAGAAATAGAATTTATGCCTAGAAAATTGAATGAAAAAGGATAGAATGACAACAGAACTAGAAAACTTTAGGATCCTGTTGCGCAAAAACTACATTTTCACATGTTTTCAAAGAAAAATGGTTGCCTTTGAGCATTGTTTGCATTAAACAAAGTGAAAATGTAGTCGTTTACATAGCTTCTATGTCGAAAAAAAAGTATTTCAAAAGGAAAGTGCTAAATAAAGATTGGAAATGCAAGGAAATACTATCATGTTATATGTATTTCAACAGCCTTTTTCTTAGTTAGTTTCCATATTATAATTGAACTTTTCCAGGTTCCGTCAAAAGATAGAGACTGATCAAAAGTCAGATGGTAGATTGAAAGAATTCCGAGAATATATTTTAGAAAGATAACGAATGGTCAGTAAGTATTTATTGGTAAAAACTAAAATGACTTAGTCTTGGTGATATTTCTATTTCTGTTAGTTAAATGTAAAATTATTTTTGTCCCAATGGGTCATATTTGCATTTGAGTTATCATTACAAATAGTTTTATTTGATTCGATGATAGAAGTGAAACCAAAATGAAACTATTTATCTTTTTTCTTCTATCTATATTCATCTTTTAAATTAATTCAGGCAACTGGCTTATGGTCAAATGGAGTGAATTTTCAGGATACTCATCATCGAATGTCGAACAGAAATAAGAAGAAACGGTAAATAATTGTTTTCCATTTTTTCTTATTAACTTCTAAAAATATTTCATTTAGCTATTTTAAACACATTCGTTGCCAATATTCACCTATCTGTTTATTTCTGTCTCTACTTGCTCTTCTTCTTCTCGGCTCGGGCATTGCTGCAATGCTTGTCGCACTGATCAGCATCCCTAAAACAACAATAACAACAACAACAGTGACGGCAACAACAGTGACGACAACAACGGCAACAACACCAACAACAACAACAGCAACGACAACAACAACAACATCAACGACAACAACATCAATGACATCAACAACAACATCAACGACATCAACAACATCAACGACATCAACAACAACATCAACGGCATCAACAACAACAACAGCGACGACAGTAACAACAACAACAATAACGACGACAACAACCAGTAAGGCAACATTTGCGTTTTTTTCGCGTATGTCCATGAATATTCATACAACTGAGTTCATAAGAGAAGTTCTAGCGATCGATGTGAGATATATCTATAACTGAGATAGGTCCAAGAGGGAAGCAGCGATTTTGGCGGCTCAAACTTGATTTTCCGCAGATTTAAATCAGCTGCTTCCTCTTTGAAAGGTAGATGAACAATCCTTCAGGAACTGAAGCTGATATTCAGTCAAGATATTCGACAGTTTGGCTTCAGAAGAAGCTATCGATTTTCTTCTTCTCATTTTTTTCTTCATTGATTTCTTCATTCTTGCCCAGGTTTCGTGAGGCAATAGATAGGCCACTATAGATTTAAAAAAAGACAGAATAAGGAATATCTCTTTTTTGAACTATGAAAAGGATAAACAAATCATTCAATGTCTATTTAGATGAATTCATGGGTAATAGAGTTATTGTTTGGTGCAGATAACGAATGACCGAGTGAGCGATTGTAGGCGAGTGGAAAGAAGAACGGTTGTTTTGCAGCTAATGTCATGTGATTGAGTCATTCTCACATTGCTTCATCGAAGTACTCACTGTTGAGTGAGGTACATCATCAATCATCTCTTACGTAAATGCACATGTCGTCCAACTAAAGTTCTTTTCAAACGAGTTTTCTGATCATGGTTTATCGAGAGCATGTTTTCAATCATCCTACTAATTGTGCCCAAGGTAAATCTTGCGAATTCGATCGATTAGGAGGTTATACAGTTTACTGCTCTGATCGAATTTGACATGAGATTCAGTTTAGTTTCAATGGTAAAAGATTGAAAGCAGCATGGTGAAACCAGAGGAAGATTAAACGACGATAAGAATGCATTAATCGGACACAGAGCCTGCTGCAAATTAGTCAGGATTGTAGAGTGGTAGTTTTCTCATGGGAACTGTATTGACTACAAGAAAAGTATTTAGCTTCGCGGGAGATAAACGAATACTTTTCAAGATTGTGGGCATCATTCTATTCGTTCACGTTGTCTCTGAAATAGCTAGGGTAACGTTTCTGAAAGTAAACAATACTCAAGTAAGGCAATTGTTTTTCATAATTATCGTAGTGCTAATAACAATGTTTGTTTCGTAACAGCTCCATGCAATAGATTTCCGACACAAGTGACGTATTCAACTAGCACTAATCCGCGTTCTGTTGCAGCAGCCGATGTCAATGGAGACAGCAAACTCGATATTATTGTCGCAAACTCAGGTTCAGCCAACGTCGGTGTTCTTCTCAATAATGGCAATGGCACGTTTGCTGCTCAAGTATCCTATTTGACTAGCATTGGCCCGTATTCTGTGACAGTAGCCGATGTCAATATGGACAGCAAACTCGATATTATTGTCGCAAACTTCGGTTCAAACAACGTCGGTATTCTCCTCAACAATGGCAATGGCACGTTTGCTGCTCAAGTATCCTATTCGACTGTTGTTGGCCCGATTTCTGTAGTAGCAGCCGATGTCAATGGAGACAACAAACTCGATATTATTGTCGCAAACTTCGGTTCAGCCAACGTCGGTGTTCTCCTCAATAATGGCAATGGCACGTTTGCTGCTCAAGTGACCTATTCAACTGGCACTAACCCGCGTTCTGTGGCAGCAGCTGATGTCAATGGAGACAGCAAACTCGATATTATTGTCGCAAACTCAGGCTCAGCCAACGTCGGTGTTCTTCTCAAAAATGGCAATAGTACGTTTGCTGCTCAAGTGACTTATTCAATTGTCACTAACCCATATTCTGTGGTGGCAGTCGATGTCAATGGAGACAGCACACTCGATATTATTGTCGCAAACTCCGGTTCAGCCAGCGTCGGTGTTTTCCTCAACAATGGCAATGGCACGTTTGCTGCTCAAGTGACCTATTCAACTAGCACTAACCCGTATTCTGTAGTAGCAGCCGATGTCAATGGAGACAGCAAACTCGATATTATTGTCGCAAACTACGGTTCAGCCAACGTCGGTGTTCTCCTCAATAATGGCAATGGTACGTTTGCTGCTCAAGTGACCTATTCAACTGGCACTAACCCGTATTCTGTAGTAGCAGCCGATGTCAATGGAGACAGTAAACTCGATATTATTGTCGCAAACTACGGTTCAAACAACGTCGGTGTTCTCTTAGCTGTTTGTAACTGACGCGCACATTGAACTCTACTGATGCAGTAACATTGAAGCAGTGTATTTAGAATTTTACTAAAATCTGTTTATATCCTTTAACAAAAGCAGATTATCCTTGTGTCATTTAATTAATAAGTTTCTTTACTATTCTTATAGAAATACATACTCATGAATGGAGATACAATTTTTAATATCTTGTTGACGAATGACGTCGATGCAAGTTCCCGCTCAAGGAAACCATTGAGTCATCATCATAATGATTGTCTAAAGAAAGACAAGCGCATTACGGTGACACCATCAGCTAAGACATGACAATAAACATGCAATTGTATCTATCGAAAATAGATCGACCTTGATGGTGAGTATGAGCTGCCATGATCGCGATTACGACCCAGCTAACGACTAGGTCCCTTGAGGATGGGTGCGGATGCGGGTGTGGATGCCGGTGTGTGTGGCACTGTGGGTATGAGTGCGGGTGTGGGATGTGGATGCAGTTGTGGGTGTGGGTGTGGTTGTGGGTGGATGCGTGTTCTCTCATTTGCGAACATAAAATTGAAATTAAAAAACTGTTAAATTCAATTTCAGCTGTTTTTTAAATTTAATTTATTCAAATTTAAAATAATCTTAAGTTTGAAATTTTCTGTTTTCAAATTTCAAAAAAACATTTACTGATATAAATTTTCAAAACAAATTAAAATTTCAGTTATACTTTTAAACTTGTTGAAATTTATAGAGTTCTCTAGAGATTGAGCTTCATTATTTCAATTTAACGACCTGTAATTTGTAGAGAGTGCTAAACTACAATAGTACTTCTTTTCTTTCTAATTACTGAAATTTATAGAGTTCGCTAGATACTGAGTTTCACTATTTCAATTTAATGAGCTGTAATTTGTACCCATGTGATCTAAGCCGCCGGTTCTCCGTAGTTATCCTACGGTTTCTATTAAGTTCGCTTGATATCGTGATCAGATGCTTTATTCTAATGATGTTTTTAGTAGAATTATTTTCGTCGATGACCTTTTATTTATTTCACATGAATTTCATATACAAGACTTACAAAACGCGAAAATATAGTATCACATGATTTCGCAAAAAAATAGGCCGTTCATCATTGAGTTGACAATGTACCACAGACAACAATCACTAGAAATATACATTCATGAAACGATTTCATAACCAGTAATACAAGAATGACTTCCAGAAATAAAGAAAAAAGAACAAATACAAAAAAACGTATGAGCACACCAGTCAGATGAGTTTTTTATAGTGGAGATCACAGGAAAAATACATGTATTAGTTAATAAAATTACTCAAGGAGGCTTGCATCATTCATTAGATTCTTCAGTAGCAATTCTTGAATCACACGTGATAATATTTGTTGGAACTTTCTTCCAGTTTCGTCTTTTATTTAATATAGCTTCGTGAATGTTCGGCCATTCGACATCAACTTGTTGTGTAGTTAATTTGAATTTTACATCTTACAGCTTCTAGAAAAAAAAGATAAGAACTTTCTTGTATTAAAAAAAGTTATTCGGCTATTTCTCATGCTATGAGAAATAGTTTCAAGTACCTAACTAAATTAGTAAAACAAATCTTTTATAAATGCATAGCTTGGATGTTCTAGTAGTTGTTGTTTTATTTTTGTTGGATCAATTTCAAGAAATTCTTCTCTTGAAAATACTTTATCGACTAATTTAAGTGCAAATAAATTCTTTTTTGTTCGGTCACCAGGTATAAGCAATGCATCGAAAAAACTTTTTCCATCATCAACCGAGTAAGGCTATAAAACTCACAAATAAAGTGATAAAAACAGTTAAAATAGTTTTACTTTACCAGTTCCGAAGGAAATGTCACCTCACTGTTGTTCGATTGACGTTCAGATGGCGATGGTGTTGATTCTTCAATATCGGCAAAAATCTAAAAAATAAAATATTCAAGAAAATAGATTTGAATTTTTAGGACTTACCGTATTTTTCAAAAGTGCTTTTTTAATTTTTTTTTTTGATTTTCCAAGATAACCTTTTGAGTTCTTTCATGACGATCATGGTATGATAAAATTTGTTCGAACATTTTCCGTGCGTGTTGGCCATCAACTTCAGTTCTATTTAGTTTACCGATAACACTCTTTTCAAAAGATAAATGACCATCACCATCTTCAAATTCAGCATCATCTGTATCATCACGATTATCTTTTGTTTTATCTTTTCTTTTCGCGTTACTCTTAGATCTTATAGCTGAAATTGATAACGACTACAGCATAAAAATAAATGTATTTCAATAAATTATGAAGACTTCAGTTATCATGTAATACATAATACGCTATTGACTTTAATTTTTATTTTCTATCAACTATCTAGAATTGATTATATTAAAAAAAAACCTTAATCGGACGATTCGTTTAAGACTCCTTCATTTATGTTTGCGTATTTTGATATCACATGAAACAAAAACAAAGCAGCTTCTTCTGTAAAATAAATCTATCGATTTCTACATATAATCGACTTCGTTAGTAGCATTTGTGCTACTAAGGTGTGGGTGTGGGTGTGGGTGTGGGTGTGGGTGTGGGTGTGGGTGTGGGTGTGAGTGTGAGTGTGAGTGTGGGTGTGAGTGTGAGTGTGAGTGTGGGGGTGAGCAAACGGAAGATCAACACCCACACCCACCACACACCCACACCCACCACACACCCACACCCACACCCACACCCACACACACACCCACACACACACCCACCCCACACACACACCCACACCCACACACACCCACATCCACACCCACACCCACACACACACCCGTACTATCCAAAATACTCACGATCGGCGTTTACTGTCTCCTAAATGATGTTGCCAACAAATTGTAAAAAGCAACGAAATGACTAAATAATTTTCCTTTTCAGTGGGAAGACAGTCACTCCCACATTCGGCTCTGTTGTTTTTGTTTTTTTTTGTTTGCTTGAAAAAAGTCACATCATACTTGAAAGCTTTTTCTTGCTAGACAAACATACGAACGGAAGAAAGAGTAAACAGAGATGACTGAAGAAAAAATTCATTTGCTTAGCACTTCTAATGGATCAAACTGAGTAGTCGACAGGCAAATAATTTCAAACAACATTTTCTGCCTGCTCCATTCACTGTCGAATTGAATCGTATGACACTTGGATTTTACAAAGAAACTGTATTCTTTTATATGACTAACTGGAGCGTGGGTGTGGATATACTTTTTCTTACTCGTACCACACCCACAGCTACGCCAGAACGACGCGGTTTCTGTAAGTAGAAATCATCAAAATGATAGGACATTAGAATTAGGAATCCAATGATTGGATCTGATGGTCGGATTATCTACTTGCGGATGTGGGTGTCAACGTGATGTTTCGGGTTGGGTGGGTGTCTAGATATCAGTGCGGGTGTTCTCTGGATCCAACAAGTGTGGGTGAGGGTGTGTGTGAGTGTGGCTGTCGGTGTGGCTCTGGGTGTTGTTGCAAAACAGTTTCCAATGGGAAAAAAGCACCGAGACCCACAACTACACCACACAACAACACCCATACCCACACTCCATACACCACACCCATACCCTACACCCACACCGATACCAAATAAACTTAAAAAATAATCAGGGTTCAATGCTGATTCTCAGGATAATAAAATTAAGTTCAGATTGTTTGGTACACTAGATCCATAATTTGGCATACATCATTTCACTTTTAAACTGGCATAAAACAAAGTGCTTCTTGATAGAATAGAATCAATATATTTGAGTGTTTTCTATAGAGATCTATAGAAGTACTTATTATCGTAATGTAAAGATGATGATTATCAGTTATTATTAAATGAGTTTGTATCGATTTTCGTATGTCTTTGAATCAGTATTTAATTTGTATTCAGTAGATATTGACATAAATTTTTCGAACGACTTCAAGTTGACAGTGTATGGTTAGTTATTGATGACGCGATGTTACCTATTCCTTTTTCCTCATTTGAACAGTACAGGATATCGATCACTGATTGCCAAAGTTATAAGATGAATAAATTTTTCCATATTTGGAATCCTTCATGTACATCACGGGCATCGACTGAATGTTAGCATTTTATGGTAATTCAATGCTTTTTTTATTCATTTCTTTCACAATATGGCTTAATTGTTGAAGTGATGTATTTTTATTCCAGTTCTTTCAATAGCTGATTCTCTGTGGATTTCACTGATGACTTATTTCTTTTAGTGTATCCTTCTCGTAACTGAAAATTATTTATATGAAAAATTCTTAATTGACAATAGGTTTTTTTCCTCATCTTTCGTATTTATGCTTTTGATCGAATGCAAACTAGTGTCTTCATTCTACTTCGAAAACTTGAGTATCAATATGTTATTGCGGCTAAATATTAGTATTTCATCTTTATTCCTATCAACCTATTACTTTTGATTTGAAAAAGGAAAAATAATCAATATTAACAAAGAAAGGATTCGATTTTTGCTGGATAAAGTAACACAATTGAGTAAACGATGAGACAAGGAGAAAAGAGCGGAACTCTGAAATTCTAAGAATTTCCTATACTATGTTATAAATGTCTGTGGTGTTCTATAGAATCCTGGAATTCAAAATTCTCGTGGATTTCATAGAATTCCGTCCAGTTTCATGGAATTCCACCAAATTGTAAAATTCCGTTCTTTCTTCCTTGCGATGAAGTCTTCTAGAATTTTACTTAGTTTTACACGTTGATTAAGGTTTCTTGTGATGAAGAACAATTAAATTTTGAGCATCTGTTCAGATTGTCTAATAGAATAACTATTGATTGTCGATCACCGCTAGAGCATCTTCTTTTCTCTGATTCTTATGATCTAAAACTAAACAATTTAAACTTTCTCTAAAATAATCAATTTTTTAATAAAAAAAAATCGACATGTGTCCATTTTCATAAAAATATTTAAAAGTAATGTGCAGTGATCAACTTGGCCGTGAACTTTTCCAGACATTGATAGTACTTTAGATCCAATATTCTTTTTTTTTGTAAAAAGATGTGTTTTTTGACGTTCTACAAGGCTATATGAAATTCATGTTAGGTTCTTGAAAAGTAACTACATACGATAAGCAAGAATGGTAAAAGAACAGCATGTAAATTAAACCAAACAGTGGTGGAACTTATCTTTTACAATGATTTTTCGATTCCGACAGTAAATAATAACATATAGAAGATATAGAATTTTGTAGAGCAGATTCTATTCTATCGATTGTTATAATTTGATAATGATTTTGAACAATTTTTTCTGGTTGAAAAGTTCATAAACAAAAATGATTTAAGAATCATAGTTACGATAGAGAGATATTGTGGAACATAATAATCAAGTCGTCCAAGTCTTCGAAGACTTTGCTCAAAAATTGTAAAAATTTGCGTTTCTGAGTAACTTTTTATGCTCTTCAAGGCTACTAAACTACTTGCAACAACTAAAATTTTTTCGACAACCAATTCCCACTGTTTTAAGTGGTAGCCTGGTCAACCGTCTCTCTTAATAATCTGTTAGTTAACCTTCTCGTAAACGTTGTCAAGTTCATAAAATAAAGCCTTCCACTTAGTGTTTCAGAAACCCTCTTTAGGTTAATGATTGCTTTTAGGACTTCTTCATACCGTTTCATAAACTTTAACTAGCGTTGTTGATCCTTATGAGCTCTTCGATGAACACTTTTATGAATCTTTGGTACGGTTGATGATTCTCATGAAAATTCCTTCTCTATACTCTTTTGATAATCCCTTATAAGGCTATTTAAAAGTCTTTATGAAATTCATATACTCTTATGAGGGGTTTATGAAAAGGTTTGAAAAGATTACATAACCAGTAACAAACGAGTTTTTTTTTATACGTTGTACTTTCATAAACTCTTAAAGGGTTCATTCTACGATATTTTTTAAAGTTCTCTTGTTGTCTCTTGATTTTCTGCTTCATTCTTCGTCACAATCTGTGAAGAACAGATATTTTCAGCAAGTTTCGTCACAAAAAATATTGTTGAACAAACTGAAGTTTCGCATAAGATCTAAAAGTTGGCAACCAGTTATATGAATTTCGGTTCAACAAATTTTCAATTCGATCAAAAATTTCGATAAATTTTCGGTTCGAATCGAAAGTCATAAAGAACGTTCGGATTGGGTTTAAATTGACCTCATTAATACCTGTAAAAAGCCTGTTTTCTTTAGTTAGTTGGTAGGTTGCGTATTCTAGGAAAAATTCTTGATATTCCTACGCTAGATCCTCAACGAATCCAGCCAGAATCTTTCTAGAATTCACTCTTTTTTCCTGAGGAAATGACTAAATCTTGAAAGGACTGTATAGTCACGGAATGTCAAGGTCCTGGCAGGATTAAAAACAGGATGCTATCAGTATTCTGAACCAGTTCCCGTTGTTTTTCTAACTGAGAATCATTTAGAAACCAAGATGTTGTCGTGAACGTGAATGCGTATTCATTTTATGTTAAGTGCCAGTGACAGAAACTGATGCACCCTCGATCTGTTGGTTTCTTACTTTGATTATCCTTGGTTTCAAGTGCAATAGTTAACTGGTTGCTTGAACTAAGATTTAAATCAGATCTTGTGTGAAACTTTATAAAATCTTGAGAGAATTCTCTCTCTCTCTCTTATTTCTGTAAGGATCTTCAGTAGGATTGTGATTGAATCCTGATAGGGTCCTGCATTGATGATTTAGAAAAAATTTAGATAGGAGCCTAAAGAAATCCTGAACAGGATCCTGTGTAACCGTGAAAACTTCTAGAAACAAGATTTGTTAGGAATTGAACCATAATCCTGAGAAAAGTTTGACAAGATCTTGAAGACTCAGGAACCTGATGGATCCTATTAAGATTTCTCAAGGAATGAATAGGATTGACACTAAGGTAGCGTTGAGCAGGACGACATAGTGCTTAATAAGATGGTGTAAGGCTCAGGAGAAGGAAATAGTGCTCAGCAGTCTGCTATGATCCTATTATAAGTGCCGTGACTTTTTGGGATAATTATTACTTGTCTGCAATAGATGTTAATGAAAAAGAAGGTTAGTCTCAATAGGACTGCCAAATGATGTTCCTCTAATCTACGTTGACCAATCAATGTCTTCATGAATATGGTCAATTTTTCGAGTTTTTTCGACTCCATTACGCATAAATTCACTTTTTTTCCATAATCTTTTTTTCTTTCATTCAATAGAATATAAGACACTATAGGTAAGCAATAAGTTTAACAAGAAAACATAGACAAGAAAACTTCTGTCTGAATAATAACAACATAATTCAGCGACAAAGAAAAACTTATACATACAGATAACATATGTAAGACCAGGATAGTAATACACATAAAATCTTTTACTGCTGAGAAATATCTTGACATGTCACTCTGAAACACTGAACAAAACTCAATAGAAGCCTATTCATCATTCCATCAAGTAGAAGTTCGTATTCGTACTCGTCCACTCCTGATATTGCGGATTTCCATGCAGTAATCTAACTACCGATTGAACGACCGATCTCCCCAACTGAAGCATTTTAATCTTAAAAAGCATACAGCACTTTTCGTCTACTAGCACAATGTCATTTGTCGAAATGCAATTTGCTGAGTAGAACTCTATAAATATAGTGTGGTCTAAATTCTTACTCCTCAGTACTACGCAATGTACCAACCAATTAAACAAATAAGCTAAGAAAAAAGCTGAAATTTCGATTGGTGTCTGATTGTCATTGATTTCTTTCGGTTTTTTTTGTTAGATAATGGATCCGAGTTTCTGCTGATAACACTTCGGATTTCTATCATGTAACGAAATGACAATCATGTTGTTACTATTAAATTGATCATAATCAAAGTCATATGAAAAAATTTTTATTCTTCACTGTTAATTTTTAAGTATACAAAAACTCAACAATCTGAAATCTTCATAGTAAGAAGATGTCTTTAGTCTTTATTTATTATCAGTTAGTCTAAAAAAATCTTTATCTATGTTAAGATCTTAAGAAAAAAACCCGAAGATTAGTTTTGATCAACGAACAAAAAAGCAGCTCCTGAGATCCATGAGGCTCTACAGCTACAGGTTCCATCAAGATCTACCAGAATTCACTTTTTCTTCCTTGCTTTCATGATAAGTTTGTAATGAAATCGTCTATTATAATGCAAAGCACACTAAAAATTGAATATATTAGGAGTAACGACTTGAAAATGAAAATCATTTTGTATACTTTATGTTGATCAGTGAGCCCAGCGAATTATCATTCTCTCGGACCAAGGACATCTGTCTGCTACAGGATCATGTTGTTGATAATCAAAAAATTAACGACCGTTTTTGAAAAAATCTGTTCCAGAAAACTCTAGATTGTCATGGACTGGTTTGATTACAATCATTTTTTTCTTACCTTGAAAACAAGGCTTTTCATAGGAGTTAATGTGGTCCATAGCTTTTTTCGATACCCGTCGACGAAGATCAATATCATGGACGGACAAGGAATTCTCCTGGTTTCATTCGAACATATCAAACACAGAATTATTGACCTTGCCAAGTTTCTACTTGTTCGTACCGTGTCTCTGAAGATGACGACAAAACCGATGAATGTAAGATTGATGCGGTATACACCAGAAACTATTCCTTACTGTTTTCCGCCGCCGATATCGTTGATTACCGTTCAGATTGACCTCGTCGTACAAATTGCTCACCTGAATCATGTAGTCGAATAAAAATTTGCGCATTTCATTCTTTTTGCCTTCTTCCTTACCATAATACGTTTGATGGATGAATCATTTGTAATTCGAGGCAAGAAAGACTGATTCCAGCTGCTTGATTGCACCTTACTAATATATTGTATAAGATCGAATGAAAAGAAGAACGTTGCATGGCACAAAACATGCAGAAAGGTAACGAAGAGAAGAATATGGAAGACATATTATAAGCACATCACATTCATCACTAGAACGTGGTGACACATCACAGCTAGGAATGGGAAAAGCAGTAGGGCAAGGATAGTGCATCATTCTCATCCATCCTTTAAGAATTACTGTGACTTGAAATGATACTAGATATAAGATGAAGATTTTCTGTGCTCTCTGGACCGATGAACAATGAATAGCAGTATTATCGATAAGATTTGACCTAGCTCTCAACTCAGAACAGGTCAGACAAGTAATGCATGAGACCTAAAAAACTTTCAGTCATTAGTGTTGTATTGTTCTTAAAAAAGAAAAACAGTCATGCAATCGTTTCATTCTCGTTTCTTCATTCTGTTTGATTATAGATATAACATAGACGTGTGTAGTGAAAAAAGCTGATTCAAAAACTACTTAATTATTACAAATATGAACAGTAAAGGTTAGGTGTAACATTCAAAAATAAATCCATAGATTAAATGAAGTCAATGAACGCTGTAACACATTCATGTTGATTGCTAGGATGACAAGAAAGTTAATTGATCCAGATTTTAGATATTTGCAAGAACCAACGAAGAAACACTGGGATCACGTGTTAAACCGTCAATTTATCGAGTAAGTTATATTCATGTTACATGCATGAAGTCTGAAAGCATAACTGAAATATATGTATTTATTATTGGATTTTATCGACGATCAAAAACATTATAAGTAATGCTTTTGTTTATCGTATGAAAAGAATCACTACTTCGTACACATTTAAACTATGGCAATTAAGTAGTTTTTGAATCAGCTTTTTTCACTACACACGTCTATGTTATATCTATAACCAAACAGAATTTCGAAAAATGGATAGAATGTGTTAGAAAAAGTATCTAGCTGTATGTAAGTTTTACGTAGTGGAAAAATCTTTTGACTGAAACTTTTTATTGAAGCAGCCTCAGCCGTTAATTGTTTCATATCTCATACCAGACCACTTGACTTGAAAAATCCATATAGTTTTTGTTGGAATTCTAGGAATACACTTGAGGAGAACCTTCCCGTGTCTATTCTTTTGGTTCTTGTTCTCATCAGTATCAGTTAACCGAGATCGAGACAGTATATTTCAACATTCTTAAGGATGGAATTTCATCAAAATTGGTAAGTTCATCATATTATAAATTGCTCTAACTTTCTCATGCAACATGTTTACTTTTATCAATGCTGATTGTAATATTTCTTTATTTTGTTTGAACATGAGGCATACCTTCTTTCAATTGATTACACATGTTTCCATAATAATCATGATTCTTGTTGAAATATCTAAATTTATTAATAAAGTATAAGAGTGATATTGTATTGATTTCTTTTTTGTATGTGATTATGTGTATTATTTGAAAAAAACAAGTAGAGTCAGACACAATAATCAAACACGATCTGAACCCATAAATGAATTTTTTAAAATAAATCAATCTATCTCAACTAATGTGTTGAAATTTAAATGATCCGTTTAAATAAATACAAACATATTGGAAACTTACATATATATATATATATATATATATATAGAGAGAGAGAGAGAGAGAGAGATTTGGGCATCTCAAATTAATTATTTTCTCTTCAGAAGAATACAAATGTCGTCTAAAAGACATATTATGTTATCCTATCAATGGGATAATCAAAAACTTGTAACAGAGGTTTATCATCGTCTTAGTGCAAAAAATATTCCATTATGGATGGATATACACGGTGGAATGAAAGGTCATTTAAGTGAAAGGTAGACTTTTTTTGCTAATATTATCATAATAATCTTTTGTATTATTTATCTTTTTCTTTTATTCAAGTATGGCAGCAGGAGTAGAAAATGCAGCAGCTATATGTTGTTTTTTAACACCAAAATATCAAGATAGTGTTGCATGTAAAAATGAATTAACTTATGCAAAAGAACAAGATGTATGTATTATTCCAATACGTTTAGTAGCAACTTGGAAACCAACAGGTTGGTTAGGTTTTACTATAACCGGACATAAATGGATTGATTTTCGTGATATTGATACAAATATGGATTTAAGAATTCAACAGTTAATTGCTGAAATTCAAATGTTAGTTGGAAATAAACTCGATTGTTTTCAAGGTATGAAACAATGGAATTTTATTCATGATGAAGACAAAAAAGAAGAAGAGCATAATGAAGAACATTCTCTTTCCATAAGTGAATATGAAAGCAAAAAGAAAAAAACAAATTATTGTCATTTTGCTTAAAGATTTTCTTGCAAAAACAACTCAAAGAAAAAACATATGGTTCACATACAGAATATTCACTATCACTAATAAAGCATTTTTCATAGTTGATACTCCTGAGCAAAACATTAACAAATGCTATCTTGAAGTATCATAAACGCCTTCTAATCTTTCGCAAACTATAAAAACCAATATATTTATTTACATGGTAAAAAATGAGAACACATATTATTTTGTCAATTGATTCTCCGTAGTATTGTCAGTTGATCTCAAATTTGTATCACAGATACATGCCTTTTCTACTCATTCTACTCAGAAAATTGCAGTCATAAACAACCAAAATTTATTGAAAAAACTGCAAATGTCTCACAGATAAACTTCGTGATAGTTAGATTCCTAAAGTATTCTTATATATAAAGTAGTCCGATTAATTCGGAAGCACCATATAACAATTAAAGTTGAATAAGAATGATAAGCAACCAAGTATCACAAAAAATTTTGATTTCAATTATCCAGAAGTACTTTAGACATCTTTGCAGTTTTCTCAACAAATTCTCGCTGTTTATGGTTAAAAATTTTAAAACAGAATAAGACTGTAGGAATAAATATATTGTTTTGTTATAGTTTGTAAAAGGTTCCAATGCATCTATGATACTTCGAAGTAGTATTTGCTAACGTTTTTTTTTTATAAATATGAGTGATGAACAATACTGTGTCTTTGGTATTGTTTCTGATCATTTCACATCCTTATACTTAGGGTTATTCAAAAGTAGTGGCGGAGATATTTTTTTTCTTATAGAAAGCTAGAAAAAATTTTCTTTTTTTATGAACAGATAGAGTGTCTTTCGCTCTATTTGTCTATATTATTTGATCACTATTCAACTAATATTATAATAATCAAATTTCGATAAGAACTGTTTTTGTTGAAAACTAGCTGGCAGTAGTAGATCATAATGGGTGGGGCACTTTTGCATTTCACTTTGTTATTACTTAATACGTTATATGAAAAAAACAAAATATACCACCTGATGCAGCGTGAAAACCTCTACAAGTTACAAAGAACAATTATGAACAGATCAGATAAGAAAAAACGAATTCATCTTCTACCAAAAAAAAACTCGTTTTCGCAGCGTCAAAATTTGGTCACTCAGAGTTTTGTCCATTCTGAAAACAAAAAGTGCAACTATAAAATAAGCAGTCCTTCATAAATTGTAGAGGTTTTCACGCTACATCTTGTGGTATATTTTGTTTTTTTCATATAACGTATTAAGTAATTACTAGGTGTACGCAAGCTCAGCTCACGAACTCCGTTCAAATGAGCGAACGAACTGCTTGAACAGTTCTTCTGAGCGACCTGAACCGTTTTCAAACAGTTCCTTTCAAATGAGCTGAACTGTTCGAACAGCTCATTTGAGCGAACCGAACTTTTGAAACAGCTGATTTCATATGAGCTGAACTGTTCGAACAGCTCATTTGAACGAACCGAACTATTTGTAGGGATACCCATAGGCCCTCAAGGGCTACCCTATAGGGGTACCCAAAGGTTCTCAAGGGCTACCCTGTAGGGGCACCCCTAGGTCCTCAATGGCTGCCCTATAGGGGTACCATAGGTCCCCCAGGGGCTACTCTATAAGGGACTCGCAGGTCCCCCAGGGCTACCCTATAGGGGTACCCAGAGGTCCCCAAGGGCTATCCTATACGGGTACCCGTAGGTCCTCAAGGGCTACCCTATAGGGTACCTATAGATCTCCAAGGGCTATGCTATAGGAGTACCCATACGTAGGGGTGGAAAGTTACCGTTCTCAGACCGTTACCCGGGAACGGTAACGGTAACGGCTTCCATTGAAAAAGTTACCAGTTCCCAGGTAACTGGTAACTGCTCCGTTACCAGTTACTCAGGAACTGGTAACTTTTTCTATAGAAACTGTTACCGTTACCGTTCCCGGGGAACGGTCTGAAAACGGGAATAGGGCTATGCTTGGGTCCTCAAGAACTACTATTGCCGCGCACCGTTGCGACCTCAAGTACAAACTCGCCGTTTAATTGGTACAAAAAATCGACCAATCATATTTTACGAAGTGTTTTCTTCCTTATTATAAGGACAACACCTGGCTATGTTCCGGCCGATCCTATGGTTCTCGAGGATGCTCTACCGATTGATGGGTATTTGTATAGGTCCCCACCCGTCCTAACACTGAGAAATAGAATCATACCATCTGATTGGTCCAAAAATAGACCAATCAGATTTCAGGAGGGCTTTTCTCGCTTATTGTACGGAGAACACATAGGCATGTTCGAACGGATCATAGGGTTATCGAGGATGCTCTATCGATTGATGGGTATATGTTGGGGTCCCCAGCCCTCCCAACACTGAGAAATAAAAACACGCCATCTGATTGGTCTACTTTTCGACCAATCATATTTCAGGAGGGCTTTTCTCTCTTATTGTACGGAGAACGCATAGGCATGTTCGGGCGAATCATAGGGTTATCGAGGATGCTCTATCGATTCATGGGCATATGTTGGGGTCCCTACCCAGTGCAATATGGCGAAATACAGCCTCGGCATTTGTCCTTGGGGATTCAAGGGTACCCCGCTATAATTTCCCTTGAGGACCTAATGTTGCACCTTTATAGAAGCCCTTGGCGATCCAAGGGGCTGTCCTATTGTAGCCCTGGAGAACCCAAAGGTACCGCCTATGGTAGGCCTTGAGGACCGAAGGGTACCGCCACATAGTAGGTCTTGAGGACCCAAGGGTAACCCCCTATAGCAGGACTTGAGGACCTAAGGGTACCCCCACCCCCTATAGTAGGACTTGAGCACCAAAGGGTCCCTCCCTTTAGTGCGACTTGAGGGCCTACGAGTACCCCCCTTGAGTAGACCCGTTCCCCCGTTCACCAGTAACTGGTAACGGTCTGTTACGGTTACCCGCGTAACTGGTAACGGTTCCGTTACCGTTACTCGGGAACGGTAACTGTAACTTCCCACCCCTAGTTGGGACCTATGAGTGTCCCTATAGGGCAGCCCTTGAAGACCTATGAGTACCCCTATAGGATAGCCGTTGGGAACCTATGGATACCCTATAGTGTAGCCCTTGGGGACCTATGGGTACCGCTATCGGATAGCCCTTGGGGACCTATAAGTACTGCTATAGGATAGCCGTTGCGGACCTATGGGTACCCCTATAGGACAGCCCTTGAGGACCTATGGGTCCCTATATGGCAGCCCTTGAGGACCTATAGGTACTCCTATCGGATAGCTCTTGGGAACCTGTGGGTACTCCTATAGTATAGTCGTTGGGGACCTATGGGTACCCCTATAGGGTAGTCCTTGGGGACCTCTGGGTACTCCTATAGGGCAGCCCTTGAGGACCTATGGGTACCCCTACAAATAGTTCGGTTCGTTTAAATGAGCTGTTCGAACAGTTCAGCTCGTGTGAAATGAGCTGTTCAAAAAGCTCGGTTCGCTCAAATGAGCTGTTCGAACAGTTCAGCTCATTTGAAACGAACTGTTTGAGAACGCTCAGTTCGCTCAAATGAACTGTTCGAATAGTTCGGTTCGTCTCAGTGAGCGTTTTCAACGGCTCATTATTTGCGAGCTTGAGCTGAGCTTGTGTGCCCCTAGTAATTACAAAGTGAAATGCAAAAGTGCCCCACCCATTATGATCTACTACTGCCAGCTAGTTTTCAACAAAAACAGTTCTTATCGAAATTTGATTATTATCATATGAGTTGAATAGTTATCAAATAAAATAGACAAATAGAGCGAAAGACACTCTATCTGTTCATAAAAAAAGAAAATTTTTTCAAGCTTTCTATAAGAAAAAAAGTATCTTCGCCACTACTTTTGGATAACCCTAAGTAATTGTTGTCAGAAACAAATACCCTTAGGAAGAAAATGTCACAGAAGAGTGATTATCAGGAAGCGATTCTCGCGTTACTAGAGGTGTTTTCAGTTACGATCAAAATACTAATGAATATTTTATTTTGAAAGACAATCATAAATGTCGTGTCTCAAGAACAAAACAGTTCTTAAAACTAAAAATGGATTTTGCACAGACAATTAAATGAAATGCTTATTCAATGATATTAAATTTCAATATCGATGCTTTGTTAAGAAATGAATTCATAGATGAGTTAGGGTACGAGTGTGAATGAGAATTAAGATAAGAGATGCAGCCACATTCACTTCCACACCTATACTCACATCCTACAGAAAATTAGTAACGAAAAGAAGAAGCTGATGCTAAAATTTGAGTCAAGCGCCATGAAGACGATAAACAAACATACACTGTTGTTTTTTAATATTACTTTTTGAAATGAGTTGAAAATGAAATTTCTTCAGATTGCACATATATGGCCATATTAGGCTAATGCGTCTGTAAAGTGTGTGTAATCTAAAGAAAAGCCTTGAAAATATCATAAAAACAATGCTCTAAATATGAATCGCTAGAAATTTTGTTAAAAATTAAAGAAAAAAGGATCTTATAACTAATCGATGCACGGAAATACAGCGTGCCTCAATTGATTTTCCCCCTTTGATAATTTTTTGTTTTTATTGCTATACTTCTTTTATCTATTAACCTACTATATATAGGAAGAAAGCCTGGAACGCGCTGCATCTTTTGGTATATTTACATTAAACATCAAATGCAATTTAAAGTGCAAAAGATGTATTAGAAAAAAAGTGACATTTTTTTCACTACAATGCCTGGTGTCCAAAATGTTGTAACAGTTTTTATTTCACGTATATCTCGGCTTTGGTAAATAATAATATCTTGAATATTTTTCCAGAAGATGCGTCGTGAAAAGCTCTACAAAAGCTGTACGATCGAATTCCTTTTTGCCTGTTCTAATGGTTTTTCTTATACTCAAATTGAACAACTTACATGGCAGTGTCACTTCCCATCATATAGAAAATATTTTGAGGACTTTTCTGATTCGCTATAGGATATGGTCTATACAAGTTTTGTAAAGCTTTCGACGGCACATCTTTCAAAAACAAATTCAATATTCCATCAT